CCCCACTAGGGATCGAGCCTGCAGCCTTGGCATGTGCCCTTGCTGGAACCAAACCTGGGACCCTTTAGTCCGCAGGCTGATGCTTTATCCACTGATTACGCCCAAACCAATTGGGCGACAGCAAGAAGCAGCATTTTCATGGAGGACGGGTGTTCGCTGCTGAGTCGGGAGTACTGGCTCATTGTATCTTACTCTGGCTTGTCTTGTGGCTTGTGCTTTCCCCCCTGAATCGGAGGTCATTGAAATGTTAACTGCAGCCAGGACCGGTTTGGCTCAATGGATAGAGCGTCGGCTTGGGGACTGAAAGGTCCCGGGTTCGATTCCGATCAAGGGCATGTACCTTGGTTGCGGGCATATTCCCAGTAGGGGGTGTGCAAGAGGCAGCTGATTGATGACTCTCTCTCATCAATGTTTCTAACTCACTCTCTCCCTTCCTCTCTGTACAAAATCAATAAAATATATTTAAAAAAAAAAGAAAAAAGAAAAAAAGAAATGTTAACTGCAGTGACAGTTATGCCCACCAGGCGGCACCGTTGCTTTCCTTACGTGATTTAAGCTCCTTTGGGGTCTGAGGTAGTACAGTGATTGCTCGTTTGTTTGAACAGTAAAGGAGATGCCACGATATTTACTACGTTCTTGAAGAAACTGGTGCCATGCTTCCTTTTCAGTGCCTAATGCCACTGCCAAGGTTACCATGATAAACCATTTGAGAAGCTCACCCACCTCCGGTGCCCGCTCCTGCTCTGCATGGACATGCACCGCCCATGGTGGTCCGACTCTGGGCTCCTGGGAGGGCGGGGACAGGAAGCTGGCAGGGCTCGTCTGCGCTCTTCTTACGTTTGCAGCTGAATTTGAGACTCTGACTAATGATACTAAGGGCATGTAGCTCTCCGATTAAACATGAATATAGAAACAAACGACGCCTCGCACACGGCAGCCAATTGTCGCCACTGCCATCGCCAGCCGGGGTTCTGGCTCCTTCCATTCCGCGGTGCACCAGGCCGAGCAGCCCGGATCGGCTCCCTGTGTGAGGGCCCTTCTCCCTCCCTCCTTTTCTCCAGAGGGAGGATAGGCATGGACAGGGGTACACACCCACCTCCCGCGTCAGACACCGACTTTCCGAGTCACCTGCCTTCTCTGAGCATCCGTATCTTCGTTGTGAATGAGGGTGACCGTGGAGGTGTCGGAGAGAATCAGAAAGAAAACAGAGCAGTGGCTGGCACAGGGAGTTATCAGATGTCAGCTGCTGTCATCACCCAGTGTCCCTGTCTAATCTTAGGAAGCTTCCCTGACTATCACCGCCACTCTCAGTACTCACTGATCTCTCCAGCGCCCTGGCACCGGCATCTGTACGTGATTTGGTGTCTGTACTTGGGATTCTCTTTGGTGCCATGTGTTGTTTCACGATACTGAAGGAAGTCAGTTTTCCTCTAGTTTGCCTGTTACTCAGTAGAGTGTTCTGTACTTAGTAAGCGTAGCTCAATATATTCTTTTAAAAAAAATATCTATTTTATTGATTTTTTTTTTTTTTTTTTTTTACAGAGAAGAAGGGAGAGGGATAGAGAGTTAGAAACATCGATGAGAGAGAATCATCGATCGGCTGCCTCTTGCACACCCCCTACTGGGGATGTACCCGCAACCAAGGTGCTTGCTCTTGACCAGAATCAAACCTGGCATCCTTGAGTCTGCAGGCTGATGCTCTATCCACTGAGCCAAATTGGTTAGGGCAGCTCAATATATTCTTGATGAGGCATTTGTGAATTTTCTTTTTTTAAAATGTTATTTTTTAGTTAAAGTTTACATTGACTGTGGTTTTGCATTAGTGTCAGGTGTACAGCATGGTGGGTAGACATCATACTTGACAAAGTGTTCCCAGCACTCACCTTGTACCATACGTAGTTATTACCAAACTAGAGGCCTGGTGCACAACATTCGTGCATGGGGGGTCCTCTCAGCCCTGCCTGCGCCCTCTTCAATCCAGGACCCCTTGGGGAATGTCCCAGGATCCCTGGGATCAGGCCTAACTGGAAGTCGGACATCCCTCTCACAATCCTGGACTGCTGGCTCCTAATTGCTGACCTACCAACCTGCCTGCCTGATCACCCTTAACTGCCCCCCTCACCCCCCCCTTCCTGGCTTGATTGCCTCTGCATGCCGGCCTGATCGCCCGTAACTGTCCCTCCCCCTGCTGGCCTGGTCACACCTAAGTGCCCCCTGCTGCTGGCCAGATCACCCCCAACTACCCCCTCCCTGCCAGCCTGGTCACTCCTAACTGTGCTTCCCCCCCCCCCCCCCATTTGGTCACCCCTTCCTCCCTGCTGCCGGCCTGATTGCCTCTTATTGCCCTTGGTTGCCCCAACTGTTCCTCAAACACACACACACACACACACACAACCAGCCTGGTTGCCCCACACAGCCTGCTTGTTTAGTCGTTTGGTCGACCCTCACCAACCCCTGCCAAACTGGTTGTAGGCAGCCGTTTTGTGAGGGCATGAGGGTTAATTTGCATATTACCTCTTTATTATATAGTATTATATGGGACTAGAGGCCCAGTGCATGAGTTTTGTGCACTGAGTGGGGGCCAGCCTGTGCCCTCTTGCAGTCCAGTACCCCTCGCTCCTTACCGCCCGCCTGCAGTGGAGGAGGCGAGAGAGGCTTCCACCTCCTTCGCTGCACTCGTCAACCATGAGCCCAGCTTCTGGCTGAGCAGTGCTCCCCCTGTGGGAGCACACTGACCACCAGGGGCAGCTCCTACGTTGAGCATCTGTCCCCTGGTGGTCAGTGTGCATCCTAGCGACTGGTCATTCCACTGATCGGTCAATTTGCATATTAGCCTTTTATTATATAGGATTATATAGAAGGATTATTGACTGTATTGTAAATTTTCTTGAGGAATCCACTCTTTTTTAAAAAATATATATATTTTATTGATGTTTTACAGAGAGGAAGGGAGAGAGATAGAGAGCTAGAAACGTCGATGAGAGAGAATCATCGACCAGCTGCCTCCTGCATACCCACCACAGGGGATGTGCCCGCAACCAATGTACATGCCCCTGACCGGAATCGAACCTGGGACCTTTCAGTCCGCAGACCGACGCTCTACCACTGAGCCAAACCGGTTTCGGCAGAGGAATCCACTCTTAAGTGATGTTACTCCCAAAACATAAGTCAATCACCGTGCTTTCCATAACATTAAGTACTTGTCAAAAAAGCAAAGACTGTGTACAGTCTGTGTAATTTCCTAAATTAACGGAGTGCTGTGCATCTTAGGCATCGGCATTTAAGGTTGGACTCTTCCTCAGTGGTTTCCACAGGAATTTCCAAGTTTTAAAAAGGCAGCATTATGCAGTGACAGGCTGCTTCTGAAGCAGTGAGCACTGAACTCTGACCAACAAGCTGCAGTCTGCTGCTTCCTGCACCGGGCTCCCGGTACTGACCCCTGCGCCCTGGGGAGGGGAGGGCAGGGCGCCGGGTGCAAAGGTCCAGGCCCCAGAACATGTCCTGGCAGCTCCTTAGCCACCTGGCCTTTGCCCTGATCACACCTTCCTGAGGGCTCCCTGCCACGGGCTCCCTTCAATTTCATCTCTCATCCTGGGAAGCTTCCGGTCATCCTCTGTTTTCTTAGCAGGACATGTGCAGTGACTTTTGTTTTCTTAGGCTGCAAGCTAGTTTTGCTTAAGGAAATGGAGGGAGGCTTTGAAAATTCATAGTTCATTTTCATTATGTCCTCCCAGCAGCTACCGGCACGTTTGTAGGGATGTGGGGAGGCGGGGAGTCAGGTGCCAGGAACGGTGGTGGCCGCCGGGCCTGGTTTGCCAAGGAGGAGCCCAGGCCGGCCCACAGCATCACTTGTTCAGACCCTGGTTCATTCTGAACGAGGCCGGGGAGCCGCCGAGGGAAGCGGCCTCCACCTGGCAGTGCCCAGTGTCCACCCGGGCCAGGCCCGCTCTGTCAGCCAGAGCGGGCTCCCCCGCACCTTTCTCCCAGGGCTGACCTGCTGGGAGAGGAGCCCACACCCCACCCGGCTCCACAGCCCCCAGCACCCACTCCGCAGGGTTCGCTGAGCCCCGCACCCCACCCGGCTCCACAGCCCCCAGCACCCACTCTGCAGGGTTCGCTGAGCCCCGCACCCCACCCGGCTCCACAGCCCCCAGCACCCACTCTGCAGGGCTCGCTGAGCCCCCACACCCCACCCGGCTCCACAGCCCCCAGCACCCACTCTGCAGGGCTCGCTGAGCCCCGCACCCCACCCGGCTCCACAGCCCCCAGCACCCACTCTGCAGGGTTCGCTGAGCCCCGCACCCCACCCGGCTCCACAGCCCCCAGCACCCACTCTGCAGGGTTCGCTGAGCCCCGCACCCCACCCGGCTCCACAGCCCCCAGCACCCACTCTGCAGGGTTCGCTGAGCCCCGCACCCCACCCGGCTCCACAGCCCCCAGCACCCACTCTGCAGGGTTCGCTGAGCCCCGCACCCCACCCGGCTCCACAGCCCCCAGCACCCACTCTGCAGGGCTCGCTGATCGTCGTTGGGCCTGGGACAAGGAGAGGGATGGCCACGTGTCGGTGCAGTGGGTGTCAGATAGGATTCTCCTCAGTCACTCCTCCCACCTGCAGGGCCTGAGCATTCTGCTGCGCAGCCCGAGTGGTGCTGGGTGTGGGCTCTTTCCCTTCCCTTACAGGTGAGGCTGGGAACCTGCAGGCGGGCCTTACAGGCCACCTTGCTCGCACCCGGCACCGCCTGCAAAGGTCCCGCCCTGCCGGCCAGCGTTGCGTAAACACCGCAGCAGCAGTGAGAGCGAGCGCGTGAGGAGTGCTTTGCTCGTGTTCCAGCTGGGGGTTTGGCCAAGCCTGGTGGCAGCAAGGGGAGCAGACGGGCTTCCCGAGCCGCGGCCACCGGGGAGAGCCGTGTGGAGGCGGACACGCAGTCCCCGCTGCTGCTCAGCGCAGCCACACTGAGCGCATTTGGTTCTGCCCGCTCACGGCCTGTCCTGTCTTTCAGTGGACGAGTACATCTCCATCGCCAAGGAGAAGCACGGCTACAACATGGAGCAGGTAACTCGAGCTTCTTCCTGTGTTCGGAACGGGCTTAGGAGCGGCTGCTCGGTGTGGTGGGGGTGGTGTGGCCGTGGTGGCCACAGTGGCGTCACCGGGCTCCGGCCCCCGGGGCCGCGGGGCGGTGGAGGCCGCATGGGCTGCAGGGCACGTGCTTTCTTGTCTGACCGTGTGAGCTGTCCCTTTGTGGCTTCGGTGGTGATCCTGACCCGGCTGCCACACTCAGACCTCCTGTGTTTCCGTGTTAATTGTTTCGAGTCACTTCCAGGTGTAAGATTTGGGTAAGGCTTCGTTTAAAGAGCCTGTGACACCCATTCTGATCCCTGTCCTCAAAGCGAGCCCGGGCGTGGGCCGTCTTTCCTGGCGTGGCCTCGGTGCAGCCCGAGGGCCGGCATCGCCCCTGCCCTCGATGCCCCTGCCCTGGTGCCTGAGGGCGCTGGGATGGGGAGTGGAGGCCTCCGCCTTGTTTGTAGTTGTTCTGTTCTGTGAGCTGCTCAGAGGCAGCGGTAAGAGGGTCGTTCCAGAGAGAACTGGCTGCTCCTCGTTTCCTAACCCCGCTCGTGAGCAGATGAGCTGCCCAGAAACTCACCCATGTTTATTCTGTCCAGAGGGTAACCATCGTTGGGGGGTGATTGGAAATATCCCTGTGTGAAGGTCCTTGCTTCAGAGGTGTAATGAGGACGCTCCTCAGGAAGTCCCGAGCTCCCTCTCCCGTTTCTCCGAACTCCTCATCCAGCGTGTTTTCCTTTCTGAGCTGATGTACCCCACAGCATCGTATTTGCAGGGGTTCCTTTTCCCTATCCTCTCCCGAGGATGTTTTTTGTTGATTTTAGGGAGAGAGGAAGGGAGAGAGGACAACATGGACTGGTTGCCTCCCGCAACCAATCCCCCCAACCTGGGTAATGTGTCCTAGGCCTTGAACCCGCCACCTCTGGCTGCCAGGACAGCACTCAGCCTCCTGAGCCCCAGCTGCGGGTGGGCAGGCTTAGTGCCCGGGCCGGGGCCTCTAAGTCCAACCGGAGAAGTGAGGCTGGTCCTGCTGAGCCCGGGCGCATGGGACGGAGAGCCCGTGGGCAGGGGCCAGGCCTCCGGGACGGCCAGCGCGGCGCCGGCGCTCTGTCTGGGAAGGCGTGCACTCGCCAGCCTCGTTGCCATGCTCACGTGCGTGCACGCCTTTGGTCTCAGGTCTCACCAGTGCTCTTTTCCAGGCTCTGGGGATGCTCTTTTGGCACAAGCACAACATCGAGAAGTCCCTGGCTGACCTGCCCAACTTCACCCCCTTCCCCGACGAGTGGACGGTGGAGGACAAAGTGCTGTTCGAGCAAGCCTTCAGCTTCCATGGGAAAACCTTCCATAGAATCCAGCAGATGGTGAGTAGATGAGACCCCACCCCGCCCCCAGCGCACCCAAGGGCAGGGGATACACTGCAGGGAGCACTCCCTGGCACTTCCCAGCCTGAGGCCGTGACCCCTCTCCCCCTTGTTCAGACGCCCCAGAAGGTGAGGGAAGGCTTGGGAAAGGAGGTGGCCATGGGCCTGTCTGCCTGGAAGGGCTGCTTGCTTCTCACTCCAGGCTGCTGCTGGGGCCCCTCCCCGCTGCTGGGCCATAAGGGCTCCATGAACTAACTCTTAGAGTGACCCAGATTCTGTCAGACGCGCTGGCGGCTTCAGGCGTGTGAGAACGGCCGAGTCCCACTCAGTCACACCTAGTCCTTTGGAAGTGGATGGAGTTTCTTCATGATTTTCCCTTGTTGGGGAAGGGCTGTGACTTCTGACATTGGAGTGCGTGAGCGTGACCCTAAGTGTATGTGAGCCTTCGCCACTGACAGGTTAGTGTTGAGTCTAAGCCAGCTCGTGCTTCCTGTAGCTTCCTGACAAGTCCATCGCCAGCCTGGTGAAGTTCTACTACTCGTGGAAGAAGACGCGGACCAAGACCAGCGTGATGGATCGCCACGCTCGCAAGCAGAAGCGCGAGCGGGAGGAGAGGTGAGCCCGGGGCGCGTCTCCCGCTGGGGCCTTCGGGTCACTAGACGCTGTGACGGGTGGCTGTGTTTCCCCGGGGCCTTCCTGCTGGAACCGGGCTCCCGCGTGCTGCCCTCCCTCGCTGCGGCTGCCCTTGCCTCGCCACTCCTCTCACGCCCCCGAGGGCGGCTTAAAAAACGGATTTAAGACAGAGAGGGTGGGGAATCTAGCCTGGCGTCCCTGTGCACACACTCCGGGGGGCTCGCATGTGCCTGGCGGGGGTCGGCCCACAGCCCGGTGCACAGGACGGCGATCTGAGCCGAGCCCCGCGCGGCGTCTCCGATAGCAGGTCTGCTTTCCTGGCGTCGCTTTTCAGTCGGCTTTTTGTTCCTCCTCACTCAGGGTACCTTCCCACTGACCTTTGAGCGGGAGGGGCTGAGAGAAACATGGGTGATGGCTGCCTCCTGCATGCGCCCTCACCAGGCCCAGGCCTGGGAGGAGCCTGCCACCAAGGTACATGGCCTTGACCGGAATCAAACCCAGACTCTTCAGTCCGAGGGCCGACGCTGCGTCCACGGAGCCCCATGGCCAGGGCTCTGCGCGGAGCACCCGATGTGCTTGCGCAGGTGCATCGGCGTGTGCTCGTGCTTGGGGCCGGGGCCCGTGCTTGGGGTGGGGGCCCGTGCTTGGGGTGGGGGGCCCGTGCTTGGGGTGGGGGGGCCCGTGCTTGGGGTGGGGGGGGCCCGTGTTTGGGGTGGGGGGGCCCGTGCTTGGGGTGGGGGGCCCGTGCTTGGGGTCGGGGCCCGTGCTTGGGGTGGGGGCCCGTGCTTGGGGTGGGGGGCCCGTGTTTGGGGGGGGGGCGAGAGAAGCGTTTCGTGTTTTCTTAGTAAACATGAGCTTTACAGCACGTTTAGTGAAAGGATGCGTCCTGGTCACCAGGCCCTCGGCCTCTGTAGGCACAGCGCGGGGGGCGTGGCCACGCGGGAGCACACAGGCTTCATTCAGTTCAGACCCAGCTCGCCTGCCCCAGCCCCAGGCCGTGCCCCAGCTCGCCTACCCCTGACCCTGCCCTGCCCCGTCCCAGCCCAGCCCCAGCCCAGCCCCAGCTCGCCTGCCCCTGCCCCTGCCCTGCCCCGTCCCAGCCCAGCCCAGCCCAGCCCAGCCCCAGCCCAGCCCAGCCCAGCCCAGCCCAGCCCAGCCCCAGCCCCAGCCCCAGCCCCAGCCCCAGCCCAGCCCAGCCCAGCCCCAGCCCAGCCCCGCCCCGCCCCGCCCCGCCCCGCCCCGCCCCGCCCCGGCCCGGCCCCAGCCCAGCCCCAGCCCCAGCCCAGCCCAGCCCAGCCCAGCCCAGCCCCGCCCCTCAGCTGCGAAGGAAGGCGCTTCAGGGCCAGGCGCCCACACTGCCCAGGGGCCTGTGGGTTAGGTTGGTGGTACTAGAGGCAGCTTTTTAAAGTTACATTTTCCTATTTTTGCACGTCTCGTTTTTATGAACTAGTGATAACCTGGGCCATCTCAGAGAGTATTGTGATTTCTCGTTAAAGGGAGCACATGGACAGGCTGAGAGGGGAGCACACCCTGTGAGCGTTCTGCCTCTGGGCCAGGAGTGGTGCTGAGGCCTCGCCTCGCTCTCCCCTCCGAGCCTTGTGCGCTGGCCAGGCGTGTGCGCTGGCCGGGCGTGTGCGCTGCCCGGGCGTGTGCGCTGCCCCGGGCGTGTGCGCTGCCCGGGGCGTGTGCGCTGCCCGGGGCGTGTGCGCTGCCCGGGCGTGTGCGCTGGCCGGGGCGTGTGCGCTGCCCGGGCGTGTGCGCTGCCCGGGGCGTGTGCGCTGGCCGGGCCGTGTGCGCTGCCCGGGGCGTGTGCGCTGCCCGGGCGTGTGCGCTGGCCGGGCCGTGTGCGCTGCCCGGGGCGTGTGCGCTGGCCGGGGCGTGTGCGCTGCCCGGGCGTGTGCGCTGCCCGGGGCGTGTGCGCTGCCCGGGGCGTGTGCGCTGCCCGGGGCGTGTGCCAGGCTTGGTTTTCAGCTGCACACGGGTGTGCCGGTGAGTGGCAGCTCTCCTCACGTCAGAGAAGCATGGCAGACGCTCACCGGTGTCCTGGGCAGCCGAGCTGCGCAGTGGCATGGCTGTTCCCGTGCAGGGCGGCTTGTTGCTGAGTGCACTGAGGCTGTTCCTGCGGCAGAGGCCGTCTCCTCACTGAGTCAGTGTTAGCACCAAAGCAGCCCACTGTGCTGAGGAGGAGGGCCGCCCAGGTGGTGCCTCCTCCCGCGGGCACGTCACGCCCCCAGATGCAGACGGGGCGCCCGCAGGGGACCTGCTGTGGAGCCACGGCAGGACGGAGGCAGAGCGTCCTCAGCCAGGCTCTTTCTTTCCTTTACACCCTTTCCTTGGGCCGAGGAGGCTGGGGTAGGGGGAGAGTGGGGTGCAGGGGGCGTGGTCATCTGGATGCAGGGGGGGATGTGGCTGTTGGAAAGCCGAGCCCTCTGGCCGCAATTTGGCTCAGTGGTGAGCCAGCGGCAGGCTGCCGGGCCTTGTTCTCTCATTTCCTAGGGATGCTCCCCCGAGCTCTCGTCCTCTTTGAATGCATCCGCCTGGAGCATGAGCTGGAGCGGGCAGCACCGTGGTAAAACGCCAGTTCCCGCCCCGTGGCCTGGGGCGGCGGGCGGCCTGACCGCGGTTCGTTTGCTGGTCAGTGTGCTCCCTGCGAGTCGGCCTGCATTCGGGTTGTTGCTCAGTGGTAGTAAATGTCTTAAATTTTACCTTTTCAGCCGAGAGGAAACACTTTATATAAAGCAACAGGGTTCTAGGCCAGTTTGGGAGTTAGATACCCGTTTTAATAGTTTATTTTAATCATTTAAACGAAAACAACTGTGGAATTGGTGTTTTATTTAAATTGTAAAAAGGCTTTTATCTCAGAATCTGAAAACATTCTAATTTTATATCAAATCAATGCATTGCTTCTATTTGTATATTAAGTACATTAATACAGACTAACCTTGCAGTCACTTTTTCTTGTCTTTCAGTGAGGATGAACTGGAGGAAGCAAATGGAAACAACCCCGTTGACCTTGAGCTGGGTCAGAATAAGGAGAGCAGAGAGGAGGTATTTCCCGTTAGGCAAACAGGCGTTTGTCACCTGTCCCTGAGAGGGGGGGTGTTGGGGTGTTAGCCTTTTGAAATGGGGTTGCAGTCTGGCATCATTTTGTCCATTCATAGCATTGATCAAGCACCTGTGGCCCCCGAGGAAAGCCGGCTCTGTGGCTCTGGGCCCCCTCGGCAGGCCCGGCCACGGGGCCCTGCAGGGAGGCCCAGCTCCTCAGGCTGCGGCGCTGGCCCCACGGTGGCGGGACGCTCACTGGGGTCACGTGAGTTGTTCTGAAGGAGGAGCCTGCAGTTTTAGTAAACGGCGAGCTCTCTGTCTCAGAGGCTCTGAGGTCTGAGAAAGTTGCTTCAGGCGGAAACTAGAAGGCTAGACATACCTAACCGGGCCTGGCATCAGTACCATGTGCTTTTCATGGACAAAGTACAAAGCTCATCGAAAAGGGGAAAATGACACCACTTACACACACGGTCACCATGAACATGCTCCCCTGTAAGAATGTGTGGGTGCCGGGAGCTGTGGCTAGAGTGCTGTCCCTATACACCAAATTTGATCCCCGCTTAGAGCACATAAAAACATTCACCAGTGGGTGTATAGGAAGTGGAACAGGAAATGGGTCTCTCCCCCTCTTTCTCCCTCTGCCTTTCTCTCGCTCCCTAAAATAAAAAATTTTTTAAATGTTTTTAAGTGGCCCTAGCCAGTTTGGCTCAGTGGATAGAATGTCGGCCTGCGGACTGAAGTATCCTGGGTTCAAGTCCGGTCAAGGGCACAGGTCCAGGTTTGGGCTTGATCCCAGTAGGGGGCGTGCAGGAGGCAGCCGATCAATGATTCTCTCTCATCATTGATGTTTCTATCTTTCCCTTCTTCTCTGAAGTCAATAAAAATATTTTAAAAATGTTTTTCAGTATATAGTTATATACTTAATTCTGAGTAAATATTTATTTTAAAATACATAAATGGGATCTTTATATATAAATTTTATAACCTTTCAAATTTATTCTGGTTGAAGATATTTTTATGTCAGATACATTAGTATACACAGCTGTGCCGGGCTGACCATCAGCCCTGAGTGACGGATGAAGGCTCCTCTCACCTGTTTCTGTGAAGGGGACGAGGCACCACTTGGCTGTTGCCGCCAAGTAGCCTGTTCGCCGCCTCCTTTGGCTTTATTGTCACAACAGCTTGAATTAAAATAACCTCCAGACACAACCAGCGGGCAAGCAGCCTTGAGGACGCACACGCTCCTCCAAGCACACGCTTCTCCAAGGTCGGGTCTTAAAGACTAAGCACAGAGATTCGAGCAAAACACATGGGGTCAGACTTGCTTGGAAAAGTCAAGGCAGGGGCTGCCGCCTTCGGCAAGGCCCCCAGAGGCCCCGACCTTTCTGAGATCCTTACAGACACCCAGCCCAGCTGTATGTCCCACACACCTGTCACTCGAGGAAAGGCATCCTCGGGGGTTTCTACAGTCCTGCCATGCTTCCTTTTCCAGACAGTGCCAGACTGCTGGCTTCATAACCAAGAATGTGTGCACTAATTTTTTCCATTACAGTTAATTTTTAAAAACATATTTTATTGATTTTTTACAGAGAGGGAGAGGGAAAAAGAGTTAGAAACATGGATGAGAGAGAAACATTGATCAGCTGTCTCCTGCACACCCCCTACTAGGGATGTGCCCTCAACCAATGCACATGCCTTTGACCGAAATCAAACCTGGGACCCTTGAGTCCGCAGGCCAACACTATCCACTGAGCCAAACCAGTTAGTCTATAGTTAATTTCTGGATATGGGCTGTGGGTCAAAGTGTTCTAGACATGTTTTTAAGGCTTCTTTGGTCTGGTTACATCACCAAATGGGGAACTCGTCATTCTCAACCGATGGCACTCTGCCAGCAACTCCTAGGAGTCCCAGTGACAAGGCTGCTGGAGGGTCTGCAGCTTAGATGGTCTGAGAAGTCAGACTGGACTTGGGGTGTTTGGTTAGCTTTGTTTTGTTGCATCATTAGGTTCTTCAATGGAACGTTTTAAATGGAAGAGAAAAGGTTGATTTTATATTAATTTCTGTAATTCCTATTTATATAGCTCAATTTCTCAATCAAAAAGAAAAATGCTTAAATCATAGTTTGTTTGCACACTAAAGTGTTATGAAAACAGACACGCTGTCCATCGACTGTCTTTGCTGGACATCATAGCCCTGTGGCAGCACCATGGGCCTCTGCCGGTGCTGAGGAATCACTGCCGTGGCCGTGGCCTCTGCCGGTGCTGGGGGCTCACTGCCGTGGCCAGTCTGCATGGCCTTCAGCTCAGTCTCACAACGTGGAGGTATTTAAGTGTTTCAGCAAAGCACATGCACTTCTTGCTCTTAAAGGGGTGAGCAGGGAGACACCACGGCTGCTCTGCCTTTCGTTTCTGCAGGTTTGGGATTCAGAGAGAAAGTGCTTAAAAAATAGCATTTCAATGACAGCTTATAGGTCTGGAAGGAGATTTTTAGGGCACGGTTGCCCTAAAAGCTAAGTCATTCCCCCAAAAAATGTGTAAAAAGTCACAATTTCACATTGAAATTTGCATATTTTAAAACTTGTTTAAAGATTTAAAGAATTTAAGTGGATCTTTATACCTGTGCTGAACCAACCACCCTCCCCCCTTTCCTCCCTTTCTTCCCTCCTTCCTTTCCCTCTTTCTCCCTCCCCTCCTTCCCTTACTCCCTCCCTCCCTGCTTTCCCTCCCTCTTTTCCTCCCTCTGTCCATGGCCGGGGTCCCTGTGCACGTGGGGCCGGTGAAGACAAGCAACTCCCACCCTCTGGGTGCAGGGAGCTGAGGGGCTGCCGTCAGCCTCCGAGTGAGAGTGGGGGTGCAGCTGTGGCAGGAAGTGGGGTCCTCTGCCAGGTGTTCAGGCCGAGCCCAGCTGTTCACTTGGCATTTTAATTTTTATGTCACAATTGTCCACATCTGTGTATTGTGCAGGCGCCCCCCACCGAGTCCGTCCCGCAGATCAAGAAAGAGAAGCACAGCACGCAAGCCAAGAACCGCGCCAAAAGGAAACCCCCGAAAGGGATGTTTCTCTCCCAAGAAGACGTGGAGGCCGTGTCTGCAAACGCCACTGCCGCCACCACGGTGCTGCGCCAGCTGGACATGGAGCTGGTCTCCATCAAGCGCCAGGTACCGCCCGGCCGGGGGCTGACCAGGCCTTGGGTTCACCGTCCACTCATGCGTGTGGTCTCCTCCCACATCTCCCAGGGCTCGTTCCCTCAGGAATTGGGCAGAAGATCTTCGTACTGGCTTAGCTTTCTCTTCACTTCACCTTGAAGTCGATGTTAAGAGTGTGTGTATAAATGCTTGTGTGTGCGCTTGGTGATTTCCATACGGCGAGCATGCCCAGCTAACTTCTCTCTGAGCCAAGAGATGGCCGTTGGCTCCGAAGCCCCACTCTGGTCCCCTCTGGCCACCGTCACCCTGAGCGCAGCGTCACCCGCTCCACTCGTGCCTCTTGCTCACCCCGCCTTCTCCAGGGCGTGGCCTCTAACTTTAAAACCACCAGTGATGGCGACGCATGTTTTGGATTTTAGAGAAAAACAAGAAGCTCGGTGCACAAAAGTCACGCACAGGTAGGGTCCCTGAGCCTGTCTGGCTATCAGGGCCTGTCAGGACCTTCCGGCTGCTGGCCAGGGCCTCTGGTGGGCAGCGCACTCACAGTGAGCCGTCGCACTCCTGTTCCCACCTGCATGCTAGGCCTTTATATATATAGATAGATGTATAGAGGACGGGATGTGGTTTCTTGCAGGTCTGGTTTTCATGTAACATGAGAGAGCATTGTGTAGTGTAGAGCCGAGGTTCTCGTTCTTTCTCACTGCCGGGAACAGTTGTACAAAGTAGACGTCTGGGCATTGCAGAGAACATGGTGAACATCTTTTATGTGGCCCTCACACTGTGTGTCCTGTTGGCATTGCTGGGGGGGAGCGTGCGTGTGTCCAGCCTCAGAGCGGTGAGTGTGGGTGGGCTGGGCACTTCTTCTCTGGGGGGCATTCGCCATCTTGTGCCTCGAGTGCCGGCTGCATCTCTCGCCGCCACCCCCCAGATGCTGGCAGGGCCCCACCCGTGTGAGCACAGAACTGGCCCGGGAAGAGGGGCGCGGGTTGCCCGTTTTTCTGTTTTGGGCTTGGCTCTCACTCTCCTCATGGCGTCTTTTGAGTCACAGAAGTTCCTCACGCTACGTCGCCCAGTTTCCATCTTGTCTCCTGTGGTGGTGCTCTGAGTGCCGTTGCCAACCTCCCTGAGGTGAGGGGGGTGTGGTCTCCTCCGCTCATCCCTTCCACCCCCATCATCACTGCTGTCCGTGTCCATGAGTTCTCTCTTCTGTTTTGCTCCGTCTCCCTCCCCAACCATTCACCCCCAGCTGTCAGCCTTCTCTCTGAATCTGTCTGTTTGACTTGTCAGTGCGTGTGCGCATTAGATTCCACATCTGAGTGAAGTCACATCGTCTTGTCTCCTCTGACTGGCTTACTTCGCTCCGCATAGTGCTCTCCGGTGCCAGCCATGCTGCCGCAAAGGGAAAACATTTTCTTTTTTAAAAACATTTCTTTTCAGCAGAGTAGTATTCCATCGTGTAAATGTACAACAGCTTTTTCTCCCCTCCCCCTGTTTTAAGTCTTACGGAATATTTTATTTTATTTTATTTTATTTTATTTTATTTTATTTCATTTTATTTTATTTTATTTTATTTTATTTTATTTTATTTTATTGGTACCACAGCTTTTTTAGCCACTTGTCTACTGATGGACACTTGGGTTACTCCAGATCTTGCTGTTGAAAATGACGCTGCAGTGAACACAGATATTCTTCTGAACTAGTGTTTGAGTTTCTTTGGATAAATTCCCGGGAGAGGAATTACTGGGTCATAAGACAGTTGCATTTTCCAAAGTTCTTTATAAAGTTTGGATATTAACCCATCAGATGTATCACCGGCAGATCGTCTCCCATTGAGTGGGCTGTCTTTATATTTTGTTGACGGCTTCCTTCGCTATGGAAAACGCTTTAGTTTAATGTGGTTCCTTGTGTTTGTTTTTCTTTGGTTGCCCTTGCCCAAGGAGATGCATCAGAAACAATATTGCTACTGGAAATGGCTGTTTCCTTCTGGAAGGGTTATGGTTTCATGTGCCTTTAAGTCTGTGGTCCAGGCTGTGGTGGAAGGTGGTCTGGTGGCATTTGTCTGTGTGTATCTGTCCACGCCTCTTGCCGTGTGGCCTTCAGCCTGTTTGGGTGTGTGTGTGCTCTGCCCACCCGTGTGTGTGTGTGTGTGTGTGTGCTCTGCCCACCCGTGTGTGTGTGTGTGTGTGTGTGTGTGTGTGTGCTGTGTGTGCTCTGCCCACCCGTGTGTGTGTGTGTGTGTGTGTGTGTGTGTGTGTGCTCTGCCCACCCGTGTGTGTGTGTGTGTGTGTGTGTGTGTGCTCTGCCCACCCGTGTGTGTGTGTGTGTGTGTGTGTGTGTGCTCTGCCCACCCGTGTGTGTAGTGTGTGTGTGTGTGTGTGTGTGTGTGTGTACTGTGTGTGCTATGCCCACCCGTGTGTGTACTGTGTGTTGTGTGTGCTCTGCGCTCGTGTGTGTGTGTGTGTACTGTGTGTGCTCTGTGCGCTCATGTGTGTGTGAGTGTGTGTGTACTATGTGTGCTCTGCGCGCCCTTGTGTGTGTGTGTGAGTGTGTGTACTGTGTGTGCTCTGTGCGCCCATGTGTGTGTGAGTGTGTGTGTACTATGTGTGCTCTGCGCGCCCTTGTGTGTGTGTGTGTGTGTGTGTGTGTGTGTACTGTGTGTGCTCTGCGCGCCCTTGTGTGTGTGTGTGTGTGTATACTGTGTGTGCTCTGCGCGCCCTTGTGTGTGTGTGTGAGTGTGTATACTGTGTGTGCTCTGCGCGCCCTTGTGTGTGTGTGTGAGTGTGTGTACTGCGCGCCCTTGTGCTGCGCGGCCTCTGGGGAAACGGCTGTGTGGGGAGAAGCCTGCCCCTCCCGGCTGCAGGGCAGGGCCTCGGATTTCCGTGCCGGTTTCCTGTCTGCTCGTCTGTCTGTCCTCCTTCATGGCAGGCACTGTCTGGGAGAGCGTGGAAGTTGGGGGTCTGGAAGGACAGGTCCTCCGGATTGTCTTGGCCGTTCCTGGCCCTTTGTATCTTCATTTAAACATAGTCATCTTCTCAACTTGCAGAGAATGCTCCTACTAGGGTCTTGGTAGCGATCGAGTAGAGAATTAACACCATCCGACCATGAGACACCCACACCACAGCCTCACTGCTCTGCGTTTTGTTTCCAGTGTGTGGGTCTGCCCGTCCTTGCTGGGGTTGTTCCTCGGTATCTGGCACCTTCTTGATGTTCTTGTAAAGGACATTGTTTCTTAAATTAACCTTTTCCGCCTGCCCCTCTCTTTTTCTTCCTCTCTCCAATCAATAAAAAGAAAAAAAAGTGGCTCTTTTCTCTGTGTTTATGCGAGTGTGGGAAGCAGCGTGTGGTTTGCATCTGAGTTTGCCTGGAGCATCGAAGCTGACTGCACCGCGGAGCCTCCTGTGGCCCTTTCTGTGCTCCCCTCTCTGCCCCCCCCTCCCGCCCCGTCCTGAGGGTTCACTTCAGTGTTTGCTGCTTTGACTTGTTGGAAGGTGGAATAGGAGGCCAGCTCTCACTTCGGGGATGAGAACGTGGGTCCGAGGCCGCGCCTGGTGGTGCAGGAGGGAGCGGAGCTGCCTGCTCATCTCAGGGGCACTGCTCAGCTTCCGGCCTCTTTCCAAAGAGGAGGCCAGTCCTCACCGCCCGCCTCCAGGGTGCGAGGAGGGCCGCCCGCCTCCAGGGTGCCGAGGGCCGCAGAACATTGGGGCTCTGCTTGCATGGGAAGCACTCGCCCCAATCGGGATACGCTCTCCAGGGCGCATCTGCCCTTCCTCTAGGGCAGTGTTTCCAAAACTTTTGACATATGTGTACTGTTATGCCCAGACTTCGTCCTCCCGGGAGGTCAGAACGTCTTCTGATCCTCCTGCCCGTGGCCTTCATGGTGCGTCCACCAGGCATCTTCGGACACCAATTCCATGAGGGGTTTTACGTCCCTCCAGAGCGCGCGCACACCTACCGCGGCCAGTCAGACTCTCCGGATCGGGTTTTCCCTAATGGTCCCGGGGATCCCGGACGAATTCCCCCATCTGTTATGCCCAGACTTTGTGATCCCCAAGGACCACCGGGGAGCCGAGTCCGATGCAATAAACAAAAGAGCCTGTACCATGCTAGCATGGGCTCGTCCCACTCATGCCGGCAGCATGGCGGAAGAGCGCAAATTTCTCCCAGTGCAGGGGTTTTGAGGGCTAGGGATAACTCCGCCCTACGGGGCGGAGTTGGGAGCTCATCCTCGCCCCGCCCTGCCCTTTCATGTACCTTTTCTATAATTTTTGTAACGCTGAGTACCCCTCGTACTCATGAGAACATAGAATTAGGCGCAGCTAAGCACGGTGCAGTGCATATTCCCACCAAACTCCGGTGCAACGTGTACCCCCATCAGACTCTTCCCGTACCCCTGGGGTACGCGCACCACACTCTGGGAAACACTGCTCTAGGGAGACTCCCTGCTCTCCTGCGGCTGCACCCCCTCTTCCTCCAGCGCTGCTGGCTGCGGCGGGGGCGCAGGAGGAGAGCAGGGCCAGGAGCAGGGCTTTGGGCTCACAGGGCTCTGGGGTGGAAGAGCGGCTCGGAGTCACCTTGCAGAGGGAGCAGGATCCCCCATGGCCTCTGGCTCCGCCCGGCGCTCGCTGGACTCTGTTGGGTTGTGTGTCAGGGAACTGTTCGCCTGGGAATGACAAGAAACCTGACTCACGGCAGCTTGGACGATGAAGGAAATGCTTTTAAAAGGTGTTTTTATTGATCTCAGCGGAGGGGGGAGAAACATCAGAGTTGTTACCAGCACCGCCTCTCACACCCATTCTCTTCCCCACAAGCCCCGGAGCCCCGCACGGCCGGCTCCCCGGGCACTGGCTCCGCCCCGGGCCCCCCGCTGTCATCCCCCTCCCGCCGCTTCCGCCTGCGGGCTGAACCCCACCCCACTTCAGAGCTTCTTTATGGAAAGTAACAGCCTTTCTCTCTTAGATTCAGAGCATTAAACAGACCAACAGCGCTCTCAAAGAGAAGCTGGACGGGGGCATCGAGCCGTACCGACTCCCCGAGGTAGGCCTGCCGGTTCCCGTGGGGGCTAGCCCAGCCGCTCCCCGGCCCCCGCCCTCAGGGGTGCGGACGGCCCGTGGCTGAGCCGGCGTGAGGCCTGGCCTGAGGGTGGGGGCTCCCCAGGAGGGTGGCCGCTAACGGGACTCGTTTGGGTGTCCAGGTTGTTCAGAAGTTCAACGCGCGCTGGACCACAGAGGAGCAGCTGCTCGCCGTGCAGGGTATGGTCCTTGTCACTGAGAGCTTTCGGGGAGATGGTGAAATCCCCCACCCCCGTGCACTGCTCACATGGCAGCAGCTCCGGGTCATTGTCAGCCACACCCCCTCCCGCTGGCCTCCCAGCTTAGAGCTGCTGTGCAGGGCTCAGCTCTAGTGTGAGGAGCTCATTTTACAGGCTGAGTGTCGGGTTAAGGTCGGGGGGTAGCCTGGGACCTGAGAGGGAGTGTCCATAGTCACTGCGGTGGCGTGTTCGCGGGGCGTCGGAGGCAGGGCCGCCCTGACCTCTGGGAGCCGCCGTGGGTGTGGCCCCGGGGAGCCTGTAGGCTCCGTATCGGGCTCAGGAAGGCCTCAGCGGGGCCTCGGCGGTTTCTCCCTGTTGAAACCACACTCTTCAGCCATCAGGAAGTACGGCCGGGACTTCCAGGCCATCTCAGACGTGATTGGGAACAAGTCGGTGGTACAAGTGAAAAACTTTTTTGTGAATTACCGACGCCGCTTCAACATCGACGAGGTGCTGCAGGAGTGGGAGGCGGAGCACGGGAAAGAAGAGGCCAACGGGCCCGGCGGCCAGAAGCCCGTCAGGTCCCCGGACAGCGCGCTCAAGGTCCCCGAGGAGGACGAGGAGGTGAGCCCGCACCACCCCCCCGGCCGCCCCCCCGGCGCTGACGGCCGCACCTCGCGGGCAGGTCCCGGCCTGGCCGTCAGGCACTTGGCTTTGGCCACCATCTGTGTGAGGAGTTCACTCAGGTTTGTCCCCGGCGTTCCTGACACGTGAATTCCTGGGTACGTCCCTCATGTCACCCTGGCTTCCCACCCAGACTCGCTCGTTCCCTCCGCACTCAGGCCGGAGCGCTCTGCGGGGAGCGGGGAGCGGGGACTGCAGTGCCCGTGCCCTCGGAGCGGCCACGCCGTGCCGCGGGCGGGCTCACCGCTCCCCCAGGCAGTTCGGAGCGGTCGGCAGGACGGCCAGGTGGTGGTCAGGCAAGGGCTCCCCCGGCTGCAGGGACCCCGTTCCTCCTGCTGTGGGGCAGGTGGTTCTGTTCCCCGTCACAGGGCCCGTCACCGCCTCACTCACTGGCGCGGTTCACTGTGGTCGCTTCCCGGTCAGCGTGGCTTTACCAGGAAAGTCCCTCCTCATGCCTCCCACAGCCGGCTGTCCTCCGCCCTCAGGAGTGTCCGGCCTGCCGGCAGCGTGTGCTGCCCCGGCCGCTGGTTAGGGAGGCCCAGCCCCGCTGAGAGGCCCTGGTGCCAGGGTCCCGGCCAGCGCGGGGCCTGCTGCAGCCCCGGCTCACGCGGCATCTGAGCGGCACGAAGGCTCTTCGTCTTTGGCCGTGACTTCGTCCCCGGAGATTGCCCTTCAGCAGCAGCGCCCTCCTGAGGTCCGCTCCCCCGGGAGGCGTGAGCGGTGAGGCCTTGGGGCAGGACGTTCGAGTTTGCAGCAGAGATGCTTTCTCCCATGCGCTCGCCCTTCACACAGAAGTTGGGAGGCCGGGGAGGAGCCAGCAGGGGGCCCGGGGCTGGGGTGTCAGGGGCAGAGCAAGCGTTGAAACGGAGGAGGGAGAGGAAGGCTCCATGTCGCTCGGAGTCGATTCGCCATGGACGCCTAGCCCTTTGGGAACCTGAGCACCCCTGAAGGGTGCATTCCAGCTTCAGGATGCGAAGCTGTTGTTTCCTGGCAACAAGATGCCACGAGGGGAGCAGGGCCTGCAAGGGACCTTTAGGCTGGAGGTTTGGGGGGGAATGCTGTGGCAGCTGTGAAAGAGGGTCCTGCCATCTTGGGGTCTTAGGTGTCTTGTGTCCTCACAGGAGCCCCGGGGCCTCCAGCCGCGCTGCCCTCACCGAGCGCGCGCTTTCCCTGGCCGCGTTCTGCTTGTCCTGGGTGCTGGGCGCCCTGACTGGATTCTGCGAGGAGACAGCTGGACGGGGCCGAGCGGGCTCTGAGCGGGCACCTGGCTGCAGGGCCACACTGTGCAGCCGCCTCCTGGCTGCCTCAGGAGCTCTGTGCCCCTGTGTGGGCCGGCAGCAGGCCCCCCTGTCGCCTTGCAGGATGCCAGAACAAGCCGTTTGCATTGCTTCCTACTCTTTTATAATTTTTTTTATTGATTTCAGAGCAAGGAAAGAGGGAGAGGGATAGAAACATCGATCGGCTGCCTCCCACATGCCCTTCATGGGGGATGGAGCCTGCAACCCAGGCATGTGCCCTGCTAGGAATTGAACCTGACCTCATGGCTCAAAGGTCAACACTGAGCCCACGCCAGCCGGGCTGATTCTTTGTTCTCCTTTCCTCAGGCCGCTTCTGTTCTCGACGTCAGATACACCTCTGCCTCCTGAGGCACCCAGGCCGCTTCCCACACTGGTATGGGCGTCCGCGTTACCGGGCATCAGGTATGACACGGCATCACCTCGCCATCTGCTCCCACCTGTGGACAAGCAGCTATTACCAAAAACGGCAACACTTCGGTCCTGTGCTACATCTGCCTTAATTCTTTGCTCGTTCCTCCATGCTGGCGCACTCGCGCGGTCTCCGCCTGGGATCTCGCGGCTGCACGGCCCCGGCCCCGGCCCTGGGGCTGCCTCCCCAGGCAGAGGTCCGGCCCCAGGGGCTCTGGCCACCGTCCGCAGCTTCCGAGCAGGTGGCTGCCTGGAAGCCCACCTCTTCCTGCATGGCCCGGATCGCTCCTTTTGCATCATGTCCTTCTCAGCAACTGGACCTGTTGGCCTTCTAGAGGGTTCTCTGGTCCGGTGCGAGGCCCCCACCTAAGCGATCATGTTTCTGGATATCACCGTGTGTGCAGACTGCAGTAACCTTCATCGTGCCAAACCTCCCGATTCGGGCCTGCTTCCCGGGACCGGCTGATGCTGATCGGCTGATCGGCTAGTCCGCTAGCCGCTCCCCTGGGCCCGGCGGGCTCCCAGCGGCTCCCAGCGGCTCCCAGCAGCGCTCTGGACACGTGACTTAAAGGAACACGGACTCCACCCTCTGCCTTCAGCTCTCAGCGTGGCAGCCCAGGATGGGTGCCGCCTCGTTCCCCGCTTCCCCCAAACCAACTCCAAGAGATTGGGTCCGTACACTGCCTGGTGCTTGTACACTTGGACTTGGTGCCTTCTCCTGGGGCCGCCGCCTTCCCAGTCCTGTTTCTGCTTCAGCGCCGTAGCTCTTTCACGTCATTGCTTACCAAAGATGACATCCCGCGCGTGAGAGCCCGCTGCGCCCGACGGAGCAGACTTAGCCGTCGGGCAGGCCGCATGGGCCCGGAGCAGCCGGGAGGTTTCCAGATGCACGTCGTTCCCCTCCTGGGCAGCCTGGCTTCTCCCCGGCACTCCACACGCCTGGTCCGCAGGCCCCTGTGGGCTGCACACCCCGCCTCCCACAGCCGAGCAGAGCCAGGCGTGAGCAGGTGCTGGTGCTGCTGCTGCTGCTGCTGAGCTGCCGTGAGAGCAAGCAGCCCGCGGGGCGTGCACTGCCTGGCTGGACGGGGGCAAGTGGAACTTGTAAGAAACGTCCTGGGACGTCCGCTCGCTCTGCTCTCCGCCGGCCCAGAGCGGCTGCGGGCTGCGTGAGCCTGCCGCCCTCCCCGCAGCTCTGCCGGCACTGGACGCCGCAGGAGCTTCTGCTGTCGTTCCCCATCATTTAAACACTTTCCTGCTTTCAATACCAAAAAGAAAAGTGCGAGGCTTTAAGGCGCATAAGCAATTCTTAAGAATTTAAAATATGCAATTAAAATGGGATGTTTTGCTGTCAAGCACCTTGCCTTTTTAAAGTCAGCTGATTTAGGAAGAGGGTCAGCTAGAATCATAGCGTGTTTGGAATTGGACTTCTGGTTTAAAGGAACCTGGACAGAGGTCACTCTGAAGGGGCAGTAAGAGGGGACTTGCTGAGCTCGCGTCCGCTGTCCCTGCACGGGAGTCCCAGCAGGTGAGGACAGTCGGGAGGCAGAGGACCTGTCCGGGCTGGGAGCGAGAGAACACGGAACCACTCAGACTGGGTCTCCTCGGCATCGCAAGCCGGCTGTGCGAGTGCAGTGCAGGGCCGCGGAGCCCTCGCGCGGCTGCACGTCGCCCCGAGGACACGGCCTGGCAGGGGCGGAGGCTCCTCTCGCCCCCTCCTCCCGGCTCCCTCCTCTCCAGTCGGCAGGGCCTCCTGCAGGGGCTCTCACTGCCTGCGGGTTCCCCCCTCGGCCCAGCCTGTGTTCCTTGGGAACTGGTGCCCAGCCGCGGGGAGCGTGGTGCCGGCCTGCCTCGCACTGCGCTCTCCGGCCTTCACCTGCCTCGGCGCCACCGCGCTGGTCTTCCCGCCGGACGGCAGCTGCCGTGGGCTCCCCCAGGAAAAGAGGCGGCGTCTTGGCCTGGCTGCTGGCTGCTTCCGCCGGTTTCACGTCTGAGAGAGCACTGTCCTCAGCTGTCCGCACTGTCTCTGCAATGATGTAAATGCAAGAACCACTCTGCTGAAAGCGAGTGACTGGTCTCACCGACGTGGAGGCCCTTTTAAACATATCAAGACTTCGGTGCATCACAGGCGTGTGGGTGGGAGGTCAGGGACCATGTTCCCTCAGCTTTGTCTTCGTAAAGAGTATCAATGTGAATGTCATAATTATATCTATTTTTGTGCAAGATTTCTCCTAAGTATAAGTTATTGTGCAAAATATAGTACCATTGAAACAAATGATAGTTTTAGTTTAGAATTCCCAAAAGATATAAATTGTATTGCATATGCATTAAAGTTTGTTTTATTTAATTTCATGTAGCTGTGTAAAGTGTTAGGCAGTTTTTCTCGCTTCTCCATGGAAACACCTTGTTACTTGAATGCTGCACTGTCGGTTTGAACGGAGATCAGTTTCGTGATGCGGCTCTTCCCCAGGGAGACGGAGTGGCCAGGAGCCGAGGCCGGCGGCACCACGGAGTGGGCTCGCTGTGCGTGCACCCCAGACGCGTCCTGTGAAACGCTTTGATCGTTTTTAACTGTATACCCTTTGATGCTCACAAACCTCCAATCAGGAAAGTGGTATGAAATACAGTTGGTTTACAACCTGACTGCAGGACAAAGCAAGCAGTTTCCTGTGTGTGTAAACTTTCCTCAAATGTCGCATGCCTGTAGTGTGCTCGTGTCACTTTAAATTCCAACTACCCCTATTTCTGTCTTTCTGAATATCACTTGTACTGTTGGTATGACCGTGCACCAAAAACAAGCCACCAGTGCGTTACACTGGCCAGACCTGCCTGGGCGGGAGGGAGCCAGCGCTGCACTTGGTGCCGCCTTCCTCCCCAGCCCCTTGCTGGACCCTGAGACCCAGGATTCAAGCTTTTGTTCTGTTTTTAATGCATTATTTTATTTATATTCAGACCTAAGCCCCAAAGTTATAAAACAGCTCTAAAGCTGTATGCAACCACTAAAAATGGCCCTTTTAAAATATATATATATTTTATTGATTTTTTACAGAGAGGAAGAGAGAGGGATAGAGAATTAGAAATATCGATGAGAGAGAATCATCGACCAGCTGCCTCCTGCACACCCTCTACTGGGGATGTGCCTCCAACCAAGGTACATGCCCTTGACGGGAATCGAACCTGGGACCTTTCAGTCCACAGGCCGACGCTCTATCCACTGAGCCAAACCGGTTTCGGCCAGAAATGGCCCATTCTTAAGTCATTGCCTTCACACCGTGGAGAGAGTTCGCTCCCGGGCCGCGGAACCGTGTGCCGGCCGTTTTCCTCTGCGCTGCAGGCGGCGGCGTGGCCACAGCCATTTCCCAACGGCGTGGGCCCTTCGGCCCAAAAGGCGTGCAGGTTTTGCTCCAGGCTCACCAGGAGCGAGGAGAGCAGCGGGCTGCAGCAGCGGCTCCACCGCCCGCCTCCTGAGTCTTGAAGGCTTCTGGTCCTTCGGCCGCCTCGCTTATCTTACCCCAAAATTTCAAAACAGGAAACCTTAATGTGAATGTCCGTTTTTCATCCCAGGAATAAAGATAGTTACAGATGCCTCGCACTGTTCTCGGGCTAATTCCCACGCCTTGGACCACGAGGCTTTCCCTCCACTGTGTCTTCCCAGAGCATGTCTGTCTACAGGCAGACACAGTCCCACGTTCGCCCCAGGACACGCTCACCGCCCTCCTCATGCTCCCCACGCTGGACTGGAAGGCCCGGCCCCAGGCACGTGTCTGGGCGTGATGTGGCCCCACCTGGAACCGGACCGCGCCTTCTCCTGACCTGGGGGCGCGGGGGGGGGGGGGGCGCTCAGTCCTGGGGGACGCGCGTGGTGGCAGCCGGCTAGGCCTCAAGCTGAGCCCATCGCACTGGCTCCCCGCGCCGGCCTCGGCAGACTGCGGGGCCCGGGGGTTCTGGAGGTTGGGAAGGTGTCCCCTCCTCCTCCCCACCCCACTGTCTGCTTGCTGGGTGCGTCACCCCTAAAGCCCAAACTCCAGATTTTAATCGTGCAGCTTTGCCTCTGGCTGACCCCAGGAAGCCCGCTCCTCTGAGCCAGGCCTGGACGCCCAGCAGCGGGCACCCCTGTGCCGGCCCCGCCTTCCCCACCGGATAAAGCACAACCCCGGGCAGCACCCCAAGTTCACAGGCACCCCCCGGGGCGGACAGGCCGCGCAGGCTCAGCTCGGCGGGGTGCTTGGTGGATTTTAAAAGATGTGTAAGGTTAATGTTGACAGGTAATGGAGATGCTGTGTGTCTTTTCAAGTGATGAAGTCCACCTGAGGATTTCAAAGAAAAGTTGTAAAATGCTGTGTGAGCAATGTTTTACTGTCTGCCATTCCCATGTCGGCACTCATCATGTGACTGTTCATAGCATGGCCATTGCTTAGCCATTGGAGGGTACCATTTGTTAGTGGAGATCGGAGAATTTTATTTGTGAGATTCTGCAGAGTTCATTTTTCTATTCCCAATATTTGCTGAAGTTAAATAAAAATTTTCAAGCCATTGATATATTAAAATACGGAACAGCGATTTTCTGCACCCCCTCTCCATCAGAGCGGTGCCCCTGGGCCCTGAGGTTCTGGGTGTGGACACGCCCTGTGGGGCCAGGGAGGCCTCTGTCTCCCTGAACCACCACCTTTCCGCCCCCGAGGACCTCGGCCGAGGCCAATTCAAACAGGCAGGGTCTGTCCACTGAGCCCAGGTCCTCGTCCCTGCTCCTGCACCCTGGGTCATTTCAGAACCAACTGGCCAAACCCTCTGTCCCGCAGACTGCGCCCGGGTAGGCCCTCGGCCAGGGCAGCACGTGAGTGAACCTCCTCCCACCAGCCTGTCCGGGCTGTGGGGACACGGTGTGACCACGCCCACGTGGCCACCCGTCTCCGTCCAGTGAGTGCATGTGCTAAAGAGTCAGCCTGGCCAGACAGTGTGGCTCAGTGGTTGCGTGTTGACCATTGACCCATGAACCAGGAGGTCATGGTTCGATTCCTGGTCAGGGCACATCACTAGGTTGCAGGCTCCATCCCCAGTGTGGGGCATGCAGGAGGTAGCCGATCAATGATTCTCTCTCATCATTGATGTTTTATTTTTTAATCCTCACCAGAGGATATTTTTCCATTGATTTTGAGAGTGAGGAAAAGACAGAACTATCAATGGGAGAGAAACACATTGATTGGTTGCCTCTTGCACATGCCCAACCAGGGCCAGGGCCAGGGAGGACCCTGCAACCGAGGTACCTGCCTGGGTATGAGGAGTCGACTCTCTACCCACTGAGCCAATGGTTAGGGCCGTCATCGATGTTTCTGTCTTCCTCTCCTATCCTCTCCGAAGTCTGTAAAAATGTAAAAAAAACTTTACTGAAATCCTTGACTGACTGCCCAAATATACAGGCAGAGGGATGTACACCCCGCCCCAGGAAGCTGGTAACAAAAGCTGCTGCTGGAAGCTGAAGGGACTGACAACTTCAGCTGCTGCAGCTGTGGGGTAAGACGGAATCTGTAGTTTGAATACAGGCCACTAACCTGTGCTCCAAAACAATAACAAAGTAATCAGTGAGAACACAGGAGAATCCAGGATCACTGCAACGTCTGATTTTCCACCAAAACACTCAAAGAAGCAGAAAAATGTAGGATGAGGAAAAACATAGAAATTGTCACCAATTGGACCGTGGTGCTGAACTTAGCAATCATGTCAAATCATATTATAAATATGTATCAATAATCAATGGATAATTATTTTAATGTGTGAACAGATAAGGAAACTCAAGAGATTTTTTTTTTTAAAGTTGTTAAATGGAGTTTCTAGAGCTGAAGACTGCAAACTAAAATGAAAAGTGTGTTTTTTTAGTTTTTTTTTTCCTATTCAGATTTTTCACTTGATTTTTAGATTCACTTGTTGATGATAAGGTATTTGTTGTTCATAATTTTTAACCTTACCTTTTTCTTCTTCCTCTTCTTAAAGAATACCTTTCAGCATTTCATATATACTGGTTTGGGGGGTGATGAACTCCTTTAGCTTTTTCTTATCTGTGAAGCTCTTTATCTGACCTTCAATTCTGAATGATAGCTTTGCTGAGTAGAATAATCTTGGTTGTAGGTTCTTGCTATTCATCACTTTGAATATTTCTTGCCACTCCCTTCTGGCCTGCATAGTTTCTGTTGAGAAATCAGCTGACAATTGTATGGGTGCTCCCTTGTAGGTAACTAACAGTTTTTCTCTTGCTGCTTTAATATTCTCTCTTTGTCTTTTGCTCTTGGCATTTTAATTATGATGTGTCTTGGTGTGGTCCTCTTTGGATTCCTTTTGTTTGGGGTTCTATGCACTTCCTGGACATGTAAGTCTATTTCTTTCACCAGGTAAGGGGAGTTATCTGTCATCATTTCTTCAAATAGGTTTTCAATATCTTGCTCTCTTCTTCTGGCACCCCCATAATTCTGATGTTGGTTCGCTTGAAGTTGTCCAGAGGCCCCTTACACTATCTTCATATTTTAAAATTCTTTTTGCTTTTTGCTTTTCCGGTTGGGTGTTTTTTGCTTCTTTGTATTTCAAATCTTTGACTTGATTCTTGGGATCCTCTAGTGTGCTGTTGGATCTCTTTATATTATTCTTTATTTCGTCAGTGTATGCCTAATTTCTAGTTGGTCCTTTTTCATACCCTGAGGGACTCCTAAAGTTATCAACGGTTTCTAGAAAATTCTTGAAAAACCTTATAACTGTGGTATTGAATTTTATATCCAGTTGTGTGCTTTCCTCCATTTCTTTAATTTGTGACCTGTTTCTTTGCTTCTGCATTTTGGCTGCTTCCCTGTGTTGATAGAGTAGCTTTGTGTGGTAGGTGTCCTATAGGGCCCAGTGGCTCAGCCTCCCCAATTACCTGAGGTGGACACTCTTGGTGCACCCCTTTGTGGACTGTGTGCACAGTTTTATTGTAGTTAAGCCTTGATTGCTGTTGGTATCACTGGGAGGAATTGACCTCCAGGCCAATTGGCTGTGAGGATCAGTTGTGTCTATGATGGGAGAACTTCTGTGCTGGAGACTCCCTTATGAGACAAGACTTGCTTAAGGTGACCAGACATCCCACTTTTGGTGGAACAGTCCCAATTTTAACAAATTGTTCCGCATCCCGTGGCATTTTTTAAAAATCCCGATTTTTGCGGGAGGTCTGGTCACCTTAGACTTGCTTCAGTGGGCTTTGGTGCTCACTGAGTCTGCCCCCTAAGTGTGTCCTTTATGGATCTGAGGAGTTGTAATCTGAATGGTCCCACTCTGACCACTGGGTACACTGGCTCTTGGATCTCCAAGGAGTTGCAAATTTAGCCTCTG